ACGTCCCTTCACAATATGTAAAAATGTGTAGAACAGGTGAGTATGCATGACCTGTTCTACACATTTTGTACATAATAGCAGGGAAGGGATGTTCCTTTGTCTACCTGAGGAACTGTAAATTTTATGCGCACGCGGCATATACTAGTTACCGTACTAGATTTAGGAAAATCAAGGTTGACGCATTCTCGATCGCCAACTGAGACGACGTGACGCATGCGCAGTGCCTTAAAATGACGTCACACATTGCAGTCAAAGCTGTCGACGTGCAAACCTAAAAGTCCCTATTGGGTACGCATAGAGAACTAGAAGAGATATGTACAGTCTAATTCTCTTTTGCACGCATTATAACATGCAAAATAAGGTTGTTATATTGCACGGTCGTGGAAATGTAACAAAATGTTGAGTGTCACGTGACACCATTTCAGCTTATAGGATACTCACTTTTCTTCCTCCACTTACGTTCCGTCAGAAAGTTAATTTATATTCTATATCTACCTTAATACAAACTAAATGACAAGTTTGAAAAAGGATATTGGTGAACAGATTGGTACGGAGCAGTACTGGCTCTTGAGAATAATTGAGTGTCACGTGACACCGTTTCAGCTTATAGGATACTCAGTAGTTCAAGACCTGCTACATCATTTAGCATGACATAATTCAGAATAAATTTCAGTAGTTCAAGACCTGCTTAGTACATCATTTAGCATGACATAATTCAGAATAAACTCACAGATCTGAGCTATTCGCATTGTCTATTATGAAAATCAGATTGGATTATAAAAATGACATCACTTAATCAGAAGCGGATGGTGATCAAAAGGCAAGGTAACAGAGTAATGCTTACGTTTGTATCTTATACGCCATTCAGGAATGCAAACTTATTCAAATATAAAACTTATTTACAAAAGCAAGTGTGGCAAACATATACAAATTCAGAATATACATGTATCACACCATCGCATAATCATAATGGAATAATGCGAAGAAAAGGTTGGAATATGTATCATCAACATTATTGAAATCCAGTACTGAATACAATTAGAATAAACATGTATGGTACAATTTTAGTAGCATATTTACATCATGTACACTGGAATGATGTAGAGAAAATCCAGGAAAGTATTTCCTCAACTGAATTTATTGTAAAGTACTGGTGAATGTAGTTAAACATATACAAACATTACTCCATTTCAAATTAAGTATTACACTGATAACTCAGGCATGTTACATTGACAAAAGAGACAAGTATCTTAATATTATGACAGCCTATGTACATATACACTGGAATGATATGAAGAAAATCCTGGAAAAATATTTCCTCAAATGGATTTAAAAATCTAGAACTGGATTTATTTCTGAATTTAAAACAACAATCAATGTCAGATAAAATGTTACACTGATAAGTCAGGCCTATGACATTCCACCCTTACCAGACAAAGCTAGTTCTCAAGTATACCAAGTTCTATCAAGTTTGCTGACATGATAACTAGAGCAATATGGCTCTTAACATCTGAGTCATTTCTGGTAATTAATTCCCAAGTTAATTTAGAATCTACTTAATTATATTTTGATTGAACATATGTGCAATGACATTGACAATACAGTGATATCTTGACAAGATAATTTGAAATATTATATACATAACCTCATAACTCACTTTGTGAAAGTTGAGTGTTATTTCATACATTGCATACATATCACCTAAAACGAAATGGTAAAACATCCTTGACAATTAAGGCATTAATCCACATTTGCCACTCTCCACCCAGGTACACATCAGCACCCGATATACCAAAGCGCTACATATTCAGCCGCCTAGGACCATTGTAATAATGTTTGAGCGTTATCTGAGTATAATGGCATGTGTAGTATGTCTTAGAAGCCATTGTTATTATCAATATAACAACTAGTTGCTGTCACCTTCTATTACAAAGGCATAATACATGATCATAGCCGAGTCAAAAATGAATCCTATTTGGAGTACTTTCAAAAACATTTTTCACACAACATGCCCCTTTCTGCATAAAACAGGTACACAATGGGCTCTTGATGCAACTCTGTTTTGGGCTTATTGAGTACACATTCACAAAACGTATCCTAGTTTTGCATCATTTTCTACATAGGCCTTTCACATGTTTTTGAACATTGTGACAACTGATATTATGTTCTCTTTCTCGTAAAATTCTTTCACTAACAGTAGAAGACTGCCTTTTTACAAATATTCAAACATTTGCATATACATTGCCGAAAGTTATCCCCTTTTACCCCAAATTTTTTGCTATCACTCCAGGGGGGGGGGGGAGTTTCATAAAGCTGTGTGTAAAGTTACGAATGACTTTAAGAATGACTTAATATGAAGAGCTAAATGGGATTCTCAAATCCTTGTAATTGCACCAACTAAAGTTGAACTGTACAGATGTAGATTAATATTCTTATTATAACAAACATTTTTAATGCTAAGTATATTTTTTGCCATGATTTAATTGAGGTTATTGGAAATATAGTCACACTTTGTTAAAACATCATGAAAAACTTTGGGCATCCTATCTGGCACTTCATATACAAGTCGTTCGTAAAGTCATGAGTAACAAACAGCTTTATGAAACACCCCCAGGGCTTGAAACCAACAGGCCAGCAGGGACACATGGACACCCAACATCTAGGTCCTAACCCTCAGAATGTGGAAGTATTTTCTTAGGGCTTACATGTATATGCATACAGACTGTAAAAAGTTAAATCTCAATCTCTTTCCATAAAAAGCAGTCGGTGTGGAGCCCTGTATCATACATTGACAAAGTCAAGATGAAGTGTTACCACTGAGACATTGTCTTTCTCTACCGATACCATAGGAATTAGACTTCATACTTAGATTGCTTCTCTGGAATTTCAGGATCACCCTGTGGAGCTCTTGACTGAGTAGAAGGAGCTTGCCTCTTGCAAGGCCTGCTCTGACTGCTGCTGCTACCTTCTCTCTGTGTTAGAGAGAATTGACATAGAGTATCTGATGTACTGCCAATATCCTGATGAGGGTGGTCTGATGGCGGTAATGTCCTTCTTGGAGAGTGTACATCACCCATGGGTTGCTGTTGAGGGTGGTTTAATGATGGTAATGTCCTTCTTGGATAGTGTACATCACCCATGGGTTGCTGTTGAGGGTGGTCTGATAGTGGTAATGTCCTTCTTGGATAGTCTACATCACCCATGGGTTGCTGTTGAGGGTGGTCTGATGATGGTAATGTCCTGCTTGGATAGTCTACATCACCCATGGGATGCTGTTGAGGGTGGTCTGATGGTGGTAATGTCCATCTTTGAGAGTGTACGTCACCCATGGGTTGCTGTTGAGGGTGGTATGATGGTGTTAATGTACTTCTTTGAGAGTGTACATCACCCATGGGTTGCTGTTGAGGGTGGTATGATGGTGTTAATGTACTTCTTGGATAGTGTACATCACCCATGGGTTGCTGTTGAGGGTGGTATGATGGTGTTAATGTACTTTTTTGAGAGTGTACATCACCCATGGGTTGCTGTTGAGGGTGGTCTGATGGTGTTAATGTACTTCTTTGAGAGTGTACATCACCCATGGGTTGCTGTTGAGGGTGGTATGATGGTGTTAATGTACTTCTTGGATAGTGTACATCACCCATGGGTTGCTGTTGAGGGTGGTCTGATGGTGTTAATGTACTTCTTTGAGAGTGTACATCATCCATGGGTTGCTGTTGAGGGTGGTATGATGGTGGTAATGTCCTTCTTGGATAGTGTACATCACCCATGGGTTGCTGTTGAGGGTGGTCTGATAGTGGTAATGTCCTTCTTGGATAGTCTACATCACCCATGGGTTGCTGTTGAGGGTGGTCTGATGATGGTAATGTCCTGCTTGGATAGTCTACATCACCCATGGGATGCTGTTGAGGGTGGTCTGATGGTGGTAATGTCCATCTTTGAGAGTGTACGTCACCCATGGGTTGCTGTTGAGGGTGGTATGATGGTGTTAATGTACTTCTTTGAGAGTGTACATCACCCATGGGTTGCTGTTGTGGGTGGTATGATGGTGTTAATGTACTTCTTGGATAGTGTACATCACCCATGGGTTGCTGTTGAGGGTGGTATGATGGTGTTAATGTACTTTTTTGAGAGTGTACATCACCCATGGGTTGCTGTTGAGGGTGGTCTGATGGTGTTAATGTACTTCTTTGAGAGTGTACATCACCCATGGGTTGCTGTTGAGGGTGGTATGATGGTGTTAATGTACTTCTTGGATAGTGTACATCACACATGGGTTGCTGTTGAGGGTGGTCTGATGGTGTTAATGTACTTCTTTGAGAGTGTACATCATCCATGGGTTGCTGTTGAGGGTGGTATGATGGTGTTAATGTACTTCTTGGATAGTGTACATCACCCATGGGTTGCTGTTGAGGGTGGTCTGATGGTGTTAATGTACTTCTTTGAGAGTGTACATCATCCATGGGTTGCTGTTGAGGGTGGTATGATGGTGGTAATGTCCTTCTTGGATAGTGTACATCACCCATGGGTTGCTGTTGAGGGTGGTCTGATAGTGGTAATGTCCTTCTTGGATAGTCTACATCACCCATGGGTTGCTGTTGAGGGTGGTCTGATGATGGTAATGTCCTGCTTGGATAGTCTACATCACCCATGGGATGCTGTTGAGGGTGGTCTGATGGTGGTAATGTCCATCTTTGAGAGTGTACGTCACCCATGGGTTGCTGTTGAGGGTGGTATGATGGTGTTAATGTACTTCTTTGAGAGTGTACATCACCCATGGGTTGCTGTTGTGGGTGGTATGATGGTGTTAATGTACTTCTTGGATAGTGTACATCACCCATGGGTTGCTGTTGAGGGTGGTATGATGGTGTTAATGTACTTTTTTGAGAGTGTACATCACCCATGGGTTGCTGTTGAGGGTGGTCTGATGGTGTTAATGTACTTCTTTGAGAGTGTACATCACCCATGGGTTGCTGTTGAGGGTGGTATGATGGTGTTAATGTACTTCTTGGATAGTGTACATCACACATGGGTTGCTGTTGAGGGTGGTCTGATGGTGTTAATGTACTTCTTTGAGAGTGTACATCATCCATGGGTTGCTGTTGAGGGTGGTATGATGGTGTTAATGTACTTCTTGGATAGTGTACATCACCCATGGGTTGCTGTTGAGGGTGGTATGATGGTGTTAATGTACTTATTGGATAGTGTACATCACCCATGGGTTGCTGTTGAGGGTGGTATGATGGTGGTAATGTACTTCTTGGATAGTGTACATCACCCATGGGTTGCTGTTGAGGGTGGTCACTACCAGTACCGTTTGTACTTTGGATTGGGGACAAAAGGTTAGTGGAATGTGAAACCTGACTGGAAGAACCTGGTCTACTTGTTCTTTCCTATACAATTGGTGGAGTATGGGAAGCTGAATGGAATCCAGATGTGGAGCAATTTTGACTAGGCCGAGGTTGGCTAGATCCTGACCGCTGTACAATCATTGGTTGATATGGTGTATCTGAAATGTGCCGTCTCGACATGGCAGGTTGATGATATCCAGAGACTGGAGGGTTACACAGAAGAGCAGAGCTGGATGGAGACGCATTGTAGGGTCGAGTGTAGGGATCCTGACTTGACCAAGGCATGACGGTACGTGTAGCACCTGTGCTCTCATGAACTGGTGGTTGATTCTGTGGTGGTGAAAGGTACCCTGCTAACAGGGTAGGTTGATCATGCCTTGAGACTGGAGGGTTAGGAGATGGAGCAGAACTGGACATAGTGGGATGGTAGGTAGGACTGTAGTCGGCCTCTCTATAGTAAGGACTGCAGTAATAACCACTGAATGGCTCATTTGGAGCAGGGGTGTGGTACCCAGCAAACATGCCTGATTGGAGATTGGAAGGCATAAATTGGGGCTGACTAGGCCCAGCATTCCACGGTAGTGCATTATTCTCTGAATAGACTGGCCCAAAACCAGACTGAGTCCTCAATGTACGTGGTTGGTGTACAGGTTGCCCCATAATGACATTGTCCTGAGACTCTTGCAAGACTGGAATATTGGCACCTAACCCCCTTGGTAGGGTGTCTGGGGTAACACTGGTGTTGGCATCTACCGGGTTCAAAAAAATAGTGCTTGCCATGGTTTCTTGGTACAATGCTCCTGATTGGTCTGATGAGACATTTCTTGTGTTGTATGTGTTTCCAAGGTGACTGCCTCTTAATGTTTGGCGACGTAACCTGAAATAAGGTTGATAAGGACTGTAAGGAATGATGGGAAACTGAGTAACCTTTGAGTTGTCCAAGTCGGCTGAGCACTAAAGGAAACAGATTTTTTTCTTACTATCTGTTTGCAAGATGAGAATTAAAAAATCAACTACTATTGGTCTAATTGAAACTACTTGTCTCAAGAAACATTTTGATCAGCGACTGAAGAGATAAATAAATACAGCCCCCCCCCCAAACAAAAAAACAACAACATATGTATACAGTATATAATACTAGTATATATAAAGAACACAAACATTCAACAAATTTAGGTTGACTGATCCACTTAGTAGGTAATTTGTTCAATAAAGCAGTTACTGAATATTCAGTACTGTAAGACAAGAAATCTTCATTTGTTAAGGTAAACAGTATCACTTTATTGCATGCTCCCTGAAGAAGTATCAGCAGTGTAGCTTTTCTTAGTATTCCATTAGAGGCTCTCTGTATTCTTTATATATTGCAATATTCCTGAAAAGTCTACATGCTGTTACCTGGAATTTTTGTTTTGTTGTTATCACATCTACTGTACTGACCTTTGCAAAGATGTAAGGGTGTGAAGAAATGAGTTCAAGTCATGTTGAGCAACTCCATTGAACCTGAAGTTTCCCTTCCTGATCTGTGGAAAACAACCCTGTAACATATAATAGCAACATTGCTTGTAAAACTTGTATCAGTTTCAAGTAAGTGGATCTATTTCATTCTGGCATATTATATATTTTCTTGGGGAATACACACTCAACAACTTAAGTTACATCCCTTAAACAAAATGAAAATGAGAAGGAAAAAAAAGAAGTATGGAGAATCTAGGCAATTTGTTCAGTATAAATGAAAATTAAAAAAAGCTAGAGTACCCGGTAAGACAAATTATGCACAAGAGATTTACATTAGTACTGGTAGTAGTATCCACTATAGCAGTAGTAGTGGAATATGGTATCGGCGACAAGTAAATCAAAATCAACTACCTGTTAGACAAATCTTTATACTTTTTCTCATATTAGGGGATCAGAGAACAACAGAGAACAGAAGAGCATTACTTTTACGATTCAACCCTTAAAGGGCTTGGGTTGGTGGAAGCAGTCTACTTTCCTGAAAGTAATATGTTTGAGATTAATTTTATTCCACGAGCTGTCCTGACTTTATAGCCTAAAATCTTGTGCATCTTTGATACTAAATTTAAAGAATTCACCCATTGGTTACTGCCCAGCATCAAGAATGATTGCACTGTGCACAGCCAAAATAGACATTTACCCATATGTAATGTACACAATGCAGATTAAACAGGATAAATGTGACTGCATCTCTGATATGACTCCCCCTACATGTATGTTCAATGATCAATGATCCTGTGACCTTTAACAACTAAACTCTTTTCATTTAATATTTTCATGCTCTCGCATACCTGAACCTTGTTTGGTTGAAACTTGTTATTCTTTTGTTAATTTTTAGACTAATAAGGTGTTTTCTGGGGTTTGTAACAGTTCATGACCCTGTTATCATTCACCTTTGATCTCTTACACTCAAAATCTAATCAGTTCATCCTAATACAGGTATATACGTATGTAATGAAATGACTTTGTAGCTTTTGTTTGATGTCTGCCTGACTCGCATGCCTGGTTCCCTGACTTAGCAACAAGGCATGCAGTCAGGAAGTAGATTGTATTGAAATGACCTTGTAGCTTTTGTAAGACGTCTACCTGACGTGCATACCAGTCCTGGTCCCGTCTTATTTTTTTTGTAAGCAAGCTAGCCCAGATTCAGCTTGCGAAGTAAACCTGCACATGCCCACTCGCGAAGGAAACCTGCGCATGCGCACATGGTAACCGTTACGGTTAGTGATAGGGTTATAATAATCATGCAAACCCACCTTTCATCATCCCATCGTTAGCTCAATTGGTAGGGACAGCGTCATAGAACATTGGAGTTGTGGGTTCGAATCTCAGTTTTTATTCAGTTTTATTTATTGCCTTTATGAATAAGGACTCAGAGCTGCCAACCTTGTGCGACCAAAAAAAGGAATCGTGATGGCAAAAAAAAGGAATTTCAAGCAAAAAAAAGGAATTCACAAAAACGAAACTTACAACCACCCGCGACACACTTCCAATGCAGAAATGTTCATTCATCATGCTGTTTTTCCATACAAGCAGGTAATTTTTGGGGTGGTTATTTTGGTATTATCGGCATTTCATTTTTTTTGAGAAAATTTTTCTCTTCAAGTATGTTTTAAAATTAGTTTTCTATTGAATTTGTGATCAAATCACCATTTTAGGGCAGTTGTTTGACGTGCGGTATGTAAAAAAAAAAAAAAAAAAAAAAAAAGATATTAAAAAACGTATTTTATGAAGAATAAACGTAGTACCGTAATTTGAGGGAAAAAACGGAGTAATTCCGGCAAAAACGTAATGGTTGGCAGCTCTGAAGGAGGCAAAGCAATAAAAAATCAAAGTCTAATTGTTTGTGACCTCTTTCCAAGCTATCATAGCTTGTTATTGACAAGATTGACAAGATGTATGGAAATGAGTTCATACTGGAATCTGGGCTCGCTTGGTTACAAAAAAATAAGACGCTACCTGGTTGCCTGACATAGCAACCAGGCATGCAGTCAGGTGGTAGATTGTTTTACCGTACCTATTATTTATGTGATGCAAACGTTTTGTACTCGTGCACTATGCGTCTGGATTAACATGCCAAAAGAAAGGATAAAAGGGTGCCTGGTGTATTGGCACGAGGTATAATAGACTATGGCATGTAGAGATGAGATGTACCAGTAGGGAGTGGCAAGATTGCCAATAGATTCTATTTTGTTTGATATTTTGCCTGGACATTAATAAAGCAGGATTTAAAACTGTATACACTTGAGCCTGCGTTCTTATTTTCTGGTTTCACTACAGTGAGCCAATATTGGTTTAACCCTAATTAGGCAAGGGGCCATAATGCCGCCCCCCCCCCAGAGTTTTTCGCGCTGCGTCTTTACCACTTGAATTAATTTTTTTTTTCTTTCAAGTCTCCCGCACATTGTGATTCCAAATTTGTGCAATTTGGACCTACGGTAGGGGTGTCAAATTACAATTATTGATCACATGTCAATCAAAATGTGCATTTTCTGTATTTGCTAGTGTGTTCACCTCTGGAAGTATCAATGATCATTTCAAAATCAGTTGATCTTTGTCATTGTTAACAAGGTTAACAGTGCTTTTCCACTAAGTGAGACCTATCTTGGGTTCATCCAACAAAAGTATAAAAAAACAAGATGAAAAATAGTTGAGCTGGTGCTATATCATACACAAGAAATAGTATAACGTTTTTTTTTTATTATGGGCTAATTTGCATATTCATGACAATTAATGTATTTTACTTAATTTTTAATATTAAACAAACCATGTAGCTCATCTGTTGGAGTGTTTAAATATATAAAACAATAATACATTATGCCCACCGCCCCCCCCCCCCCTCTCCCCGTATTAGAAACCCTCAAAATACCCAGGCTCATTAGGGTTAAAGTGTTTATATATCAATACATTTATGTGATTTTTACAACTTCATAGCCCTGTAACATTTGACTTTTCACGTCTCACCCTAAAATCTAATCATTTGATCCTTGGGTGATTCTTTGCTGTCTCCTTTTCTGTCCATGTGCTTGCATACCACATAGATGAGGGGGAGGGGTGTATGTGGAGGGATTCCCCTCCCACGGAAGGGACTATTTTAATTAAATTAACTTAAATTGTGGTTTAGCACAATGAACAAATATGAATTGAATGTTGCCTTTCTAAATGATTAAACAGAGGAGCATCCTTCAAAATAAAGGGGGTCACTAACAAAAAAGGGCAACCTACAGAAAGCGAAAACAAGTGGGACAAGGTGGACCGAGTCCTACCCAAGAGCCTTGGGTCCCTGGTCCAAAAATTATAGGTACCAGTTTCCCAAAATTGGATGGCGATGAAAAATAAGCCCCTTAAAAGTAACGTTTGTTAGCAATGAAATAAATCAACACATGAGTACCTTAGCACAGATCGGTATATCATCCCATTTGACATTATGTTCATAATATATGTGTTAGGCAATGCTTTGTACTAATATCATGTCTCTAAATGTCGAAATCTGATGTAAAAGTAGAAATGGAATATGCGAGCCACCATTTTGATTCATTCAGGATGTAAGAATCATGCTAAAAATCAATGTTGGAATTACAAAAAGGCTTTCTAATAAATTCTTCTTCACAACATTCTGATCAAATAATTTGTTTAAGACAATATTTTTTCTTCTTATTCTAAACACTGCATGCTTTTTTGAATGGCTGATATTTACTTTGTAATCAAAACAAGTTTCATTATTTATCACTGTTGCGAGGCAAGTTTGGACTAGTCACAAAAGGAACGCTAGTACACTGCACTAGCTGTAACATGTGCCAAAACAAACCATAACAAATATATGTGATCGTACTAAAATATCTTTCAAGGGGTCGTTGCATCCTGCCATGACCCCGAGGCGCACCTGGGTGGGCGGCGCAATGAGGGGTCATGGCAGGATGCAACGACCCCGAGAGCCAGTATAGAAACAGCCAGGCCTCGAATATTAAAGCAGTCAATATATTATTTATATACTGAATTGACACAAAAATCTACCAAGAATTGTTACCTAATCCTTTTCTTGAGTAAAGATTGGTAAAAACATCAAAACAGACAAAGGCACTGTATGGTATCCACACTCGCACAAAGTTTTAACACGTAAACCAACGGGATCTCATCAAAATTTTACTATTTTCCTGGTACCTGGAATCTTTTGGAAATCTCTCATGAACTATTGCCTGTTACTGGCATTGTTTGTTTCTAAACGGGAATGGTTGAAATCACGACTCCAGTTTTGACCAATCAGATGGCTAGATTTCTAAAGAGAGGTATATACGGTACTGCTAATCTCTACGCTCGAATCCACTGCTATACTGCTTTTTACCGCAGAGGGCAGTAGATAGGATTCTAGCATAGGGATCAAGATGAACAGTACATGTGGAAGAACCTTGCACCAGGCCTATTCCTATACTATTTCTGTGGCATTTCCTGGACAACTATTGACTTCTTTGTCCAGGTTATGTATCTGCATTTTTACAATAATTTTGAGAAGTTGTTGTCTTTTTCATCATGCTCTCATAGTTTTGAATATTTCAGTACGATCACATTTTTATTCAGGTTTGCAACAGCGATGAGTATCGAAACTTATTGTGATTAATAAGCAAACATATCAGGTTTGTAAAGAAACTTGAGGTATTTAGATTAAAAGAAAAAGGTTGGATATTGATTATTGATCAAAACAATGCCAATCTTATACACGCTTGAATTTCAACTGAATCAGTACATGTCTAGTTTGCTTTCTTTCCATGTTTCATGACTATTACAATATACCATGTGAATAGCCTTTATAAAAGAGGAGTGTTTGGAGAAGAAAAAAAAAAGATAAACATGTGCACCATATAACTATTACCGCTATTGTTCTCTTTCAATTACCCTTTCCATGACATTTACATTAGGACACACATACCTGTATGGATGATGCCTTTGCTTTCAATGTAGAGAAGAACTCCTCAGTGAATGCCTCTCCAACGAGTGTAAGGTCAGTCAGGTTTGGCATAGAACACAGTGCTTCTGCTAGGTGGTGTGATGAGGCTGGTGTGGAACAACTAACATCATTAAGCTCGAGAGTCTGGACCTGCATTGTTTGTCAATATAGTAAAGCAGCTAATCTATACATGCATTTGTTTTATTTACTAGAACTAATTTCTCATTGCATTCTTATATCTATCACCGAGGGTATGTATTACACAGCTGTATTTATATTTACATTCTTAACCTTAAGATGACTTAAATAGATTTTTGTTTTAAATCAATTCTTGTATAATAACATTCAAGTTTCAACCAGAAGGATGATCAAGTTATATATTTTTATAAAACATCCTTTATCTGTTTGCATTGATAAGTCTTACTCCTAACAACACTGGAATAAAGAATACCCAGAAATCTGCATTTGTTATTAACATATTGAAGGTATTCATAACTCTTGTTTTCATGTGCACAAGAAAGCTAAGTCAGGAGGATGTGGCTATTGTATAGTTTTGGTAAATTCAAGCCTTTATCGAAGTTGGAAAGGGTTGGATATTGATGAGTGATCAAAATAATATTAATCTCATACACAGTGGAATTTCAACTAAATACCTACTTCTATAGTTTGCTTTCATTCAATATTTCATGATTATTGCGACATTTTGGGTAAATAAATTTAAAATTCAAAAAGGTATTTGTAATTTTAAAAAAGACATGTATACATGTACATCACATAATCAATACTTCTCTTTCTGTTATCAATGGCCGTTTCTATAACATTAACATTAGGAAACACATACCTGTATGGATGAGGCCTTTGCTTTCAATGTAGAGAAGAACTCCTCAGTGAATGCCTTTCCAGCGAGTGTCAGGTCAGTCAGGTTTGGCATAGAAGACAGTGCTTCTGCTAGGTGATGTGATGAGGCTGGTGTTGGACACTGGAGATCATTAAGCTTGAGAGTCTGGACCTGCATTGTTTGTGAATATAGTTAAACAGCACATATATACATGCATATGTTTTATTTACTAATTTCTGACTGTATTCTTACATTTTACACAAGTTCCATTAATTACATAGTTGTATCATAATAACATTCTCAACAAAAATGAATGAAGAAATTTTATTTTCAATTCAAGTGTATTCTCAGAACGAACACACTTAAGTTTCTATGAAGATAATGATTTAGTACAAGTGATTTTTTCAAAATTATGTACGTTCTCTCTGTAGCGCTTTCAAACTGTTTGTATCGATAAGTCCTACCTGAATAACATTGAATTAATAATACCCGGAAATATACCTTTGCTATCAATGTATTAAAGGTATTTGTAACTCTGGATTTCAGGTGCATAAGGTCCTAGGTCAGGAGGATTGTTAGTACAGTTTGGTAAATTCAAGCCTTTATTAAATTTGACACTTAAAAAACTGTATGACCTATTTTTCATATCGATCAAACTTGGAAAAGGTTGTGATTATTGATCAACACAATGTAAATGTTATACAAACTTGAATTTCAACTTAATCAGTACATGTGTAGATTGCTTTTATTTCATGTCTGTTCCAATATACCAAGTGAATGGCCTTTAAAAAGGGTGTTTGGAGAAAAAAACATAGATGTATATACTGTGCACCATATAACTATTACTACACTTTCTTTTTTCAATGACCCTTTTCATGACATTTACATTAGGACACACACACCTGTATGGATGAGGCCTTTGCTTTCAATGTAGAGAAGAACTCCTCAGTGAATGCCTTTCCAGCGAGTGTCAGGTCAGTCAGGTTTGGCATAGAAGACAGTGCTTCTGCTAGGTGATGTGATGAGGCTGGTGTTGGACACTGGAGATCATTAAGCTTGAGAGTCTGGACCTGCATTGTTTGTGAATATAGTTAAACAGCACATATATACATGCATATGTTTTATTTACTAATTTCTGACTGTATTCTTACATTTTACACAAGTTCCATTAATTACATAGTTGTATCATAATAACATTCTCAACAAAAATGAATGAAGAAATTTTATTTTCAATTCAAGTGTATTCTCAGAACGAACACACTTAAGTTTCTATGAAGATAATGATTTAGTACAAGTGATTTTTTCAAAATTATGTACGTTCTCTCTGTAGCGCTTTCAAACTGTTTGTATCGATAAGTCCTACCTGAATAACATTGAATTAATAATACCCGGAAATATACCTTTGCTATCAATGTATTAAAGGTATTTGTAACTCTGGATTTCAGGTGCATAAGGTCCTAGGTCAGGAGGATTGTTAGTACAGTTTGGTAAATTCAAGCCTTTATTAAATTTGACACTTAAAAAACTGTATGACCTATTTTTCATATCGATCAAACTTGGAAAAGGTTGTGATTATTGATCAACACAATGTAAATGTTATACAAACTTGAATTTCAACTTAATCAGTACATGTGTAGATTGCTTTTATTTCATGTCTGTTCCAATATACCAAGTGAATGGCCTTTAAAAAGGGTGTTTGGAGAAAAAAACATAGATGTATATACTGTGCACCATATAACTATTACTACACTTTCTTTTTTCAATGACCCTTTTCATGACATTTACATTAGGACACACACACCTGTATGGATGAGGCCTTTGCTTTCAATGTAGAGTAGAACTCCTCAGTGAATGCCTCTTCAGTGAGCTCCAGGTCAGTCAGGTTTGGCATAGAACACAGTGCTTCTACTAGGTGATGTGATGAGGCTGGTGTTGGACACTGGAGATCATTAAGCTTGAGAGTCTGGACCTGCATTGTTTGTGAATATAGTTAAACAGCACATATATACATGCATATGTTTTATTTACTAATTTCTGACTGTATTCTTACATTTTACACAAGTTCCATTAATTACATAGTTGTATCATAATAACATTCTCAACAAAAATGAATGAAGAAATTTTATTTTCAATTCAAGTGTATTCTCAGAACGAACACACTTAAGTTTCTATGAAGATAATGATTTAGTACAAGTGATTTTTTCAAAATTATGTACGTTCTCTCTGTAGCGCTTTCAAACTGTTTGTATCGATAAGTCCTACCTGAATAACATTGAATTAATAATACCCGGAAATATACCTTTGCTATCAATGTATTAAAGGTATTTGTAACTCTGGATTTCAGGTGCATAAGGTCCTAGGTCAGGAGGATTGTTAGTACAGTTTGGTAAATTCAAGCCTTTATTAAATTTGACACTTTAAAAACTGTATGACCTATTTTTCATATCGATCAAACTTGGAAAAGGTTGTGATTATTGATCAACACAATGTAAATGTTATACAAACTTGAATTTCAACTTAATCAGTACATGTGTAGATTGCTTTTATTTCATGTCTGTTCCAATATACCAAGTGAATGGCCTTTAAAAAGGGCGTTTGGAGAAAAAAACATAGATGTATATACTGTGCACCATATAACTATTACTACACTTTCTTTTTTCAATGACCCTTTTCATGACATTTACATTAGGACACACACACCTGTATGGATGAGGCCTTTGCTTTCAATGTAGAGTAGAACTCCTCAGTGAATGCCTCTTCAGTGAGCTCCAGGTCAGTCAGGTTTGGCATAGAACACAGTGCTTCTACTAGGTGCTGTGCTGAGGTTGGTGTGGGACACTTGAGATAATAAAGCCCGAGAGTCTGGACCTGCATTGTTTGTGAATATAGTTAAGCAGCTAATCTATACATGCATTTGTTTTATTTACTAGAATTAATTTCTCATTGCATTCTTAGATCTATCACGTAGGGTATGTATTACACAGCTGTATTCATATTTACATTCTTATACCTTAAGATAACTAAATAGATTTTTTTTAAATCCATTTTTGTATATTTAAACATTCAAGTTTCCTTCAGTAGGATGATTAAGTTATTTATTCTTTCATAAAATATCCTATATCTGTTTGTATTGATACGTCCTACTCCTAACAACACTGAAATAAATAATACCCAGAAATCTGCATTTGTTATTAAAGGCATCGTTCAACAACGTTAAATCTGAGATGCATGGCCCTACGTGTCATCAGTGTCTGTGATATGGTGTAATATGAAGCCCTAAAAAAAAAAAGCACTTCCAAATGATCATGAAGTGCCTCAAAAAAGTAAAAACCGTGGAGTGACCGGTTTTACCGTACCCGTTTTCCCCAAATAGACTGTAGTGTTAGGAAAACGCAAAATTTTATTTTGATAATCTAACAAGCGATCGGCTTGTACAAGTCATAAGGTTCCTGACTGACCTAAAGGTTTAAAATTATACTTGCAGCATGCGCTAAATCTAGGATTTTGTTTCAGAATCTGAGTCAAAGTTACCCAATCCCTTTAACATAGTGAAGGTATTCATAACTCTGGTTTTATGTCACGAGAAAGCTAAGTCAAAAGGATGTGGTTATAGTACAGTTTGGGTAAATTCAAGCCTTTATCGAAATTAGAAAAGGTTGGATATTGATTAGTGATCAAAATAATATTAATCTAATACACAATGGAATTTCAACTATCTATGCTCTTCCATAGTTTGCTTTCATTCCATATTTCATGAGTATTTAGACATTTTGGGTAAATGGATTTAAAAAAAAAGGTATTTGGAATTATAAAAGACATGTATACATACACATCATATCATCAATACTACTCTTTCTTTTTTCAATGACCCTTTCCATGACATTTACATTAGGACAAACATACCTGTATGGATGATGCATTTGCTTTCAATGTAGAGAAGAAGTCCTCAGTGAATGCGTCTCCACAGAGTGTCAGGTAAGTCAGGTTTGGCATAGAACACAGTGCTTCTACTAGGTAGTGTGATGAGGCTGGTGTGGGACACTTGAGATAATAAAGCCTGAGAGTCTGGACCTGCATTGTTTGTGAATATAGTTAAGCAGCTAATATATACATGCATTTGTTTTATTAACAAGTACTAATTTCTCATTGCATTCTTATAACTATCACCTAGGATATATATAACACAGCTGTATACATATTTACATTCTTAACCTTCAGATAACTAAATAGATTTTTTTTAAAAATCAATTCTTGTATATTTAAACATTCAAGTTTCTTTCAGTAAGATGATTAAGTTATTTATTCTTTCATAAATATCCTATATCTGTTTGCATTGATACATCCTACTCCTAACAACACTGAAATAAATAATACCCAGAAATCTGCATTTGTTATTAAAGGCATCGTTTAACAACGTTAAATCTTAGATGAATGGCCCTACGTGTCATCAGTGTCTGTGATATGGTGTAATATGAAGCCCTAAAAAAAAATGTGCTTCCAAATGATCATGAAGTGCCTCAAAAAAGTAAAAATCGTGGAGTGACCGGTTTTACCATACTCATTTTCCCAAATAGACTGTAGTGTTATGAAAACCGTTAGGAAAATGCAAAATTTGATTTTGATTTCCAATCATAAATATCTTGATAATCTAACAAGCGATCGGCTTGTAAAAGTCATAGGGTTCCTTACTGACCTAAAGGTTTATAATTATAATTGCAGCAGGCGCTAAATCTAGGATTTTGTTTCAGAATCTGAGACAAAGTTACCCAATCCCTTTAACATAGTGAAGGTATTCATAACTCTGGTTTCATGTCACAAGAAAGCTAAGTCAAAAGGATGTGGTTATTGTACAGTTTTGGTAAATTCAAGCCTTTATTGAAATTAGAAATGGTTGGATATTGATTAGTGATCAAAATAATATTAATCTAATACACAATGGAATTTCAACTATCTATGCTCTTCTATAGTTTGCTTTCATTCCATATTTCATGACTATTTAGACATTTTGGGTAAATGGATTATAATTTTAAAAAAGGTATTTGGAATTTTAAAAAGACATGTATACATAAACATCATATCATCAATACTACTATTTCTTTTTTCAATGACCCTTTCCATGACATTTGCATTAGGACAAACATACCTGTATGGATGATGCCTTTGATTTCAATGCAGAGTAGAACTCCTCAGTGAATGCCTCTTCAGCGAGTGTCAGGTCAGTCAGGTTTGGCATAGAACACAGTGCTTCTACTAGGTGATGTGATGAGGCTGTTGTGGGACACTGGATATCTTGAAGCCTGAGAGTCTGGACCTGCATTGTTTGTCAATATAGTAAAGCAGGTAATCTATACATGCATTTGTTTTCTTTACTAGAACTTATTTCTCATTGCATTCTTATATCTATCACCGAGGATATGTATAACACATCTGTATTCATATTAACATTCTTAACCTTAAGATAACTAAATAGATGTTTTTTTAAAATCAATTCTAGTATAACATTCCAGTTTCCATCAGTAGAATGATCAAGTTATATATTTTTTTATAAAATATCCTATATCTGTTTGCACTGATAAGTCATACTCTTAAAGGTAAAGACCAGTATTGGAAATGCCCCAATTTCAAAAAATGAAATGTAAGCTCTTATTATCAATCATGTGGAAGAATATGTTTTGACTAATACATGATGATAAAAATTTTGCCGGGAAACCGCCTACTAATTGATATATTTGGTAAATTAGTTTATCTACATGGTCTGTGAGAGATAAACGCACGTGTGCGTATAGTCCCATAAATATCTTTCTGTGTACAGTGCTTGTAACTTTACAAAGACTGGGCCATATTTCTTATCATTTTGATGATTCCAGAACCTTGCAGTACACACCAATACTTATATGCTAGATGATCAACCTTTTCTGATCGATTCCACAATGTTTCTTTCACAATGCAATCGCATGACCATAACTGGTCTTTACCTTTAACAACACTGAAATAAATAATACCCAGAAATCTGCATTTGTTATTCAAGGCATCGTTTAAGAACGTTAAATCTGAGATGCATGTTTCTACATTTCATCAGTGTCTGTGATATGGTGTAATATTGAAG